TACCATTTTAAACGAATTGGTACTCGAGTCGCCCAGGCAACATCGACGATCATCAGCAGTCAGCAGTCGGCAGTCAGCTCCAATGCCTGAGAAAATGCAGCCTGTACAAGTGAGCGAAAGAGAGAGTGAGAGTGGGAGAGTGGGAGAGAGGGAGAGCGGGAGAGCGGGAGAGATCGTCGATCGCAGCAGACGGCATTGCGTCAAGTGGCAGTCGACTGGCCGGCCAGTCGACATGTCTGCCGCAAGTCTGCCTGATCCACTGCCTGCTGCCAGTCTCTCTCGCTCTCACTTCGACTGGACACTGCGATCGCCACGCTGTTCGGCTGTGCTTCGGCTGCTGGTTTGGTTCCCATGGGCCTTGGCTGCCAATCGGGCCGCAGCTACTCCAAAACTTCCAATGACGCTTGCACATTTCTGTAGCTATACATACATACATACATACATATATATATATATATATATATATATATATATATGTATCTTCTTTCTTTTGAGAAATCGAGAGAAGAAAAAAGAAGACTTTAAGGCCAAGCGCTCGATGCGGCCATTGTGAAGTGCTGATCGTTCTGGCCCCACGACGCGTCGCCACTTGACTAAATTAGTTTCGTAGAACTTGTAGGCTGTGGCCTTTTCTTCGGTCTCGCATCTCGGATCTCATTGAAATTAGTAGAAGACCCTGAGCTCCGAGAATGCAGCATCGAGCTCTTGGCAAGGTATTCAAACTGTTTGCTCCCATGCCAATTTGAAGATCACTCTGCCAATTGCATGGCACATCAGTTACACATACATATATACATATATACATATGTATATAGGCAAATATATATTTATATATGTATAGTTCATGTTAAGCAACTTTGTTAATCAGCTATTAACAATGATCCTTGATATAGCAACCTAATGCGCGCTGCTTGATTTACTGATTTCGATAGCCGATCACATTGACTGTGTCAACTTATCTTTTCACCTTCAACTGTGGAAAATAGGTGAAAATGTGTGGCTAGGATTTGAGCTGACTGAGCTGATGAGCCTCCAAAGTATTTACTTAAATTGAGATATATTATGTTAGATTAATGTTAAATAGCTTTTTCTCTATTTCAAAAATAGATTTGTTCATAAAAATAGTAGTATCTGCAAACACTACAAAAATAGTAGTATTCGTCAAAATAGTAGTATCTGCAAACACCACAAAAATAGTAGTATTCGTCAAAATAGTAGTATCTGCAAACATTACTATTTTTATGAACAACTAAATTTTGTTAATATAAAAGTTTTTTAAAATTAAAGTTTTCATTTAAATTGAGATATATGAGGTTAGATTAATATTAAATATCTTTTTCTCTATTTCAAAAATAGATAGATAATGCAGAATATAATAGTTATAATCTGATATTTGAGTAGCTTGTATGAGAGTGTTTGGGCATATCTTTCATATACAGAAAATTCTATGGAATTTCGAATTTTTAATTTCCTTTTGATATCTAGTTTAAATCTATTGTGTGTGTGTGTATAGGCTTGTACCTTGATAGTAAGTCAAAACACATTCCATTTGTGAATTACCAAAACCTAAATTCGAGCTCTAAAATGCAAATTTAAAATGCGAAAATTCTGAAAATCCAAATGCGAACGAAGTTTTAGTCAGCGCCTGTGGGGGGTTGTAAATTATTCACACACAAATGTGTAATTACCCAGACACAGAACACATCAGCAGCAGCAGCAGCAGCAGCAGCAGCAGCAGCAGCAGCAAGAACAACAACACACATGCACACACGCACACTCTCATGTAGTCATGTTCTCATGCTCTAACTAACACATGTACAGCTGTAAAATTGGCAGCACACAAAAAGCTTGAAGAGCGGCGCCGTTGTGTGTGTGTTGTCTAGGGGCGTGGCTGCTGCTGCTGCTGCTGTTGGCATGGAAAATTAACAATTTTTCAATTAAAATCAATACCGAGTGCTTCTTTTTGGGTTCAACTGCTAAAAGTGGGCGGCTGTGGGAGGGGCTCTAGCCAAGCTGCAGCCACACATGATAACTGAGTGTGTGTGTGTGTATATATATATGAGTGTGTGTGTGTGTGTGTGGATTGTGTGTTGTTGTGCGCATTTCAAGCAAATAGCTTAAGTGCCTGAAAATATGCAACACAAGCGACAAGCGGGCGTTGCTACGTGTGTGTGCGTGTGTGTGTGCGTATGTGCTCATGTTGTTAGTTTCTTTTTTGGGGCGCCATCAAGTCAATTTCTAAAGTCTTTTTTGTCGGCAGCCACACACACATACACACACATACACACACAGGCAAATAGTGCTGTTATTTTGCATGACATTTGCAGGCTAGTTGTGTGTGTGTGCGTGTGCGTGTGTGTGCGTTGAGTGTCGTAGTGGGTCGTAGTCTCAGCTCAGCTGCTACGCTGCGGTCGTTTGGTCTTTAGAGTATTTTGTGGCTGTCTAACTGTTGAGCTGCCAAGCTGCTGGTGTGTGCGTGTGTGTGTGTGTGGAATACACGCACATGCCTGTAAGCAAAATACACACACACACACACACACACTGACAGTCGTTGACTATTTGCGGGCACCGCAAACAACGTTAAATGCAAATTTACGCCAGCTCCCGCCCAGCGCCCCTTGCCTGGCAGACAACGCTGCTGAGCCAATGGCCTCCCACCTCTCCCTCTCGCTCTCTTCCTCTCTCTTGCTCTCGCTCTCGCTCTCGCTCCATGCTCCTGCAGGCAAACCCACAACAGTTACACACAAAATGGCCGTACTTTGGCGCCATTGCCTCAGTTGTTGCTGCTGATGACTATTGCCGTTATTGCCCAGCACGAAAGCGTGACAGTGGAAGGGGGACAGAGCAAACAGCAGAGCGAAAGCGAGAGAGAGAGAGAGAGAGAGCGCCGGGCAGGGCCAGAATTGAAGTGTTAGTTGTAATGCTACTAATTGGACTCGCTTTTAGCAATGCTTCATGTGGACCCAAGCAAGCCAAAAGCAAAGCTCCTTCAAGAGTCCCGTTCACACGTGTCTGTGTGTGTGTGTGTGTGAGTGTGTGCGTGTATATACTACTCCAAAGTCTATAATTGGAAAATTGTACACACTCGAAATTCAATTTTCAGTTGCTGCTGCTGCTGAAACTATGGGCTAACTGTGTGAGCATTAGCAATGGGATTATGTTCTCGAGGCTCGTCAGCGCCTGGGTTAGACAGAGACGGATAACGCAGCCGAGTTGAAAGCGGCAGAGCTTGAGATTAAGTGTGAAGTTATGTGGCATTGCCACAAAGTATTTGCTGCTGACTAAGTTAATAAAGCTGAACTCAAGCAACTAAATAGTAACTGTAATTATATATAACTATATATCTAAGTGATTTTAACAGATTTGTATTTAAATATATTGCCTATCGATATATCATACTAATTGATTTTTTAGCTTTATCTAAATCGAATCGAATCGAGGTCCACGATAATTAAGTGAGGTTCATGTATGTTATATGCATAACCTGGTTATCGGTTGCAAATAAATACTTCTTGATATGCATTTCAACATTCTGTAAATCGATTAAGGTAATTTTTACTTACACGCAGTAGTTGCAAATAAATGATGTGGGGATAGTTATCGATTTTTCCTTAAATATCGATATATATATATGTAAATACAGTTGTTGCCTGTCTATAGGAAGGGCATAGTGATCGATATTTATAAGGCCTGACAAGCAATTCATATCGAAAGCATAAATCAATCAAGCAATCGATATTTATTTCTGAAATCGTCTTAAATACCAGCACATAACTATATAGAAGAAGCGCCTGAATGAACGTCACATCCTTCAGTCGACGCATTCCAAGTCAAGTCTTTGGCTGAGCCTGTGCTAAGTGCCTCGGCACTCGAGCTGGTTCCCTAAGAAAGAGCGAACAATGTGGAAGGAGAGCGAGCAGCCAGCCAGCCAGTAGCTCGCCCGTTCCAGTTGCCATTGCCATTGCCTTGCTCATACTCGCTGCCGTTGGCGTTGCCGTTGCCGTTGCCGTTGCCGTTGTCCGTTGCCCGTTACGTGAGTGGCGCACTCGATGCGGGTAAAAGGGCAAATTCGCCTTGTTTGTTGAGCAGCGGGAGAGAGGGAGAGAGAGGGAAAGAGGCCCGCTGTATGGCTAAAGTAACTGCGCCATAATTACACAATTTTTGCCTCGTTTTTTTTTTTCCTCGTATTTTTCGTATAATTTTTTGTGCTAATCAAACACATTGAGCGAGCGAGAGAGAGAGAGAGAGAGAGAGAGAGAGAGAGAGAGCACGTTAGCTTTTTAAGGGTGGCAATTTGTCGGCGTTCAAGTTCACTCGATGAAAGCACACGCAATCACTTTCGCTCTCTCTCTCTCCCTCTCTGTCTCTCTCTCTCTCTCGTGCGCTGCGCTGGTGCGCTATCTCGCTCGCATAGCCGTCGCTGGCATTTAGCTAGAACAATAATGGCCATTAAAATGCTTAATTATATATTCGCAAACGTAGCTGATTTTTTGAAGCCTGCCAAAACGGGCCGCGTCTCGTTGCCCCCTCTAAGGCGAGGCGAGGCTGACGCGGCTATGCAGAGTGCTTTTTGGCAGGACTCGGCTCAATGTGTGCAGCGACTGTTGGAGCTGCACTTGAGCCGCTGCTGAGCTTGATTGCTTATTAGGATGGATCTGGCAGGATGGCTCAGTGCAGCAGCAAAAGTGACGAAGGACGAGGCACGTAGCACTGATAACAATGCTCTGGCGAGGTGTGAAAAATCAGCGCACAAAAACCCAAACAAAGACAACGAGACAAAAGGGAAATGCAAATTCCTGGCGTTGCCTTCAATCGCGGACACATCCCGAGCCCCAATGGCATCCTTTTTTGCTCTGTTTCTGCTGGGCTTCTTTATGTTTTGCCAACACAACACAGGCAATACCTCGCTCCAGCAGGATGTAATTAGTTCGTTAATTCATTAAGCATAATGAATGCGATATCAAATTACCTGGCCGCGTCTTATGTGCTGTATGACTCACCTGTATGCGATCCTCCGGCAGTTCCGTTTTCAGTGAGAGCATCTCGCGGGCATAGACATCGGGATAATGGGCCTCCTTGAATGCCTCCTCCAGCTTCTCCAGCTGATAGCTGGTGAATATGGTGCGGCTGTGCCGACGCTTCTTCTTCTTCTTTTTGCCATTGGGCCCTAGGCCGGGGCCGACAGCGAAGCCATTCAAGCCATCCATGCCAAAGTCCTTGGCAGCCAAAGAGCCTGCAATGACGTATTTATCGAATCGAATAAAATTTGCATTCAATTTATTCTATTTATATGTATTTATTACTCTGAATCTCTGGCTCAACTTTATTAGTTCAACTTTACTTTCAATTCAATTGCTGTTCTATTCAATCTTCAATTTTAATTCAATTTCAATTCTATTTCAAAACTTTTTCAATTTAATTTCAATTCAATTTTAATTTATTTTCCATTTTTTTTCAATTCAATTTAAAATCAAGTTCAAGTTTTTAGTATTCCTCCCTCAATTTTATATTCAATTTCAACTTCAACTTGATTATTTCAATTACAGAATATTTTAGTTTTGTATATAATATATATCAAATTCAAAACCCTTTCAATATTACTTTCAATTCAATCAAAATTATGTTTTTTCTTCAATGATAAATGTAAGACGGAAGCTTAAATTCTTTCAATTCAACTTCAATTTCAGATTCAATTTTCGTATCATCATTTCTCTCTATCTCCCTCTCTCTCTTTCTTTCTCTCTCCATCTCTCTCTCTCCTTAACGCATGTGAATGTATTTCTCTCTTAGTCAAGGCTCAACTTTTACTTTAATTTGTTCAATTTTGATTTCAATTCGAATTCAACTTCGTCGCTTCTCCTCTGTTTCGCTCTCTCCTCTTCCCTTTCCTTGTGACAATTAGTTCACAGCCTTTTTTAAGTGCTGCTCCCATGACCTACACAGTGAAGAATTCCTCCCACACACACACAAAGAGTGAGAGAGTGGGAGGGGAGCGACAAGCTGCCCCTGTTTGAGGCGTCGCTGAAGCGCGACTTTGAGTGTTTCTTTAGTTTGGTTTGAATTGATTTTGTATCTCTTTTGTTTTTGTTTCCACTGACTATGGCGGTGGCTGTCTGTGTTATTTTAAATATTTAATAATTGTATCTAGTTTCGCACTTCCTTCAGAGGCTGCTTCAAGGAAGACACCACTTGACATCGTCGTGACCCTCGCAGCGCTGGGGAAAAGTGAAAGCGGCTGCCGACTCCGGCTGCGAGGATGACAATCATGATGATGATGATGATGATGATGAACCTGATGAGATGCTGATGAGCATGTTGACAGGCACTGTTTGCTGCTTGAAGGGGATCTCGTCTAGCCGCTGATCAGCGCCACTTGCCTCGAGCCTCCGACGAAGCCAGCAAATTTCGTGGCTGCCTTTCAATAGGCAAATCGAAGCGGATTGAAGCACCCGGAAAAACACACACGCTCCGAGCAAGACAAAGGCACAACTCCAATAGCAAATAGAGCTTGTTTTTTTTTTTGGAAAGTAAAAAACAAAAACGAAAAAAAAGTACACAGCAGGGGCATGAAAAAGACGCTGAAAACATGCAGCAAACTCATGTGCGCGCTTTACTCCAAACCAATTCGCATTGAAATTCGATATGAAAAATTAAGTAGAAGCAGATTTATGTAGTCGATGCGATTGTTGTTGCTGTCGCTGTCGCTATTGAGTTATTCAAGTGAAGCGCTGACGTGTATCCTTCTCACGTATATATACTTTTATATATATAACGAAGTTGTTGTTGTTTTTCCACTAAACATGCGTGAAATTGTGAGTGCAGCGTAGTGAAGTGGAATCGCTGTGTAATGAATGCGATTTGTGGCATCTTGGATTACAGACGAAATGCGGCAAAGGCAATTGCCCAAAAAATTATACAGGGACACAGACAATATCCGCATTGAATACGTTCAATTTGTGTGTGTGTGTGGAGTCTTTCAATTCGCATTAACATCTTTTGTCGACGCTCATAATTGCTTCCATATGCAATAACCTCGTATCATATTGAACATAATTGATTGAAGATTTTCTATGCAATTTCAATCAAATTGGCTTTCAATCTATCAATTAACTCTTTTGTATTATTTTCTAGATATTTGCAAAAGCTGCAATTTGTGTTCAATTCGTATTCAATATTGAACAGCAAAATGATTGACTTCAATTCGACATTTACTTCAATATTACTTGTTCAATATTGAATGTATTTAATATCCAATCAATTTTCTAGTTCAATTTTATATTCAATTTCATATTCAATTTCAATCAGCATCAAGTCTCTGTTCAATCTTGTCTTTCAATTTATCATTGAATATGCTTTCTAATTGATTTAGTCTCCTTAAGTCTAGTTTGCATAATTTTCTTAATATTTGCAGTGGTTGAAATGACTTCAATATTGAACAGCAAAAACATTTTCGATACTTATTGAAACTTTATCGAATGTCTTCAATATCAAATATTGAACAAATCTTCTATTTCAATTTTATATTCAATTTCAATCAATTGCCTGTTCAATATTGTCTTTCAATCTATCATTCAGTATACTTTCTAATTGATTTACACTCTTTAAGCATAGTTCAATTTGTGTTCAATATTATGGAGCAAATGATTGCCCTCAATTCGACATTTACTCTGTACTTTTTCGTTCTTCATCGAATATCAATTATCATATGCAAGTTAAATTTGAATTTCTCATTCTTTTTCAGTCAACAGCCAGTTGGATATCGACTTTCAATCAATTAATTGACTAATTCAATATATTATCCAATTGGATTAGTCGTTAATCAGCAATTACGATTCAATTATCGGTAGATCTATGGGCCCGTGGCTTCGACTTGTGTTCAATGCGCACTCAATTAGTGTTATAAATATGGCAACGTGTGGACCGACGCTAATCAACACTATGTTTGTGTGTTGCACAAATCTAATTATGCAATTATGTTGATGAGCAAATGTGCGAAATTAGTTAGTTAGACGCGCACAAAAGTAGGCAACATTAAATTTGCTTGCTCTCTGCTTACACTTGGGCCCAGCGCACTTTTAATGAGCACACGCACACACACACACACACATATACATATAGCCAGCTTTATTATTGAAAGTTTTGCCAACATAAAAGTCGAGGCAGGCCAATGCCACACACACACACATAGACACAGACACAGACACGGACAGAGCAGCAGCAGCACATGCCAACACACACACACACACACACACACGCACATGCATCACAACATATTAGCAATTAAAATTTTCTTAGTTAATTACTTTAAGCAGACGACGACACGAAAATTCCACAGCGAAAAATGTCGCAGCAAATGAAAGGCGACAGCGCAGTGAAAGAACGAGAGAGAGAGGGAGGGAGAGAGGGGGGGGGGGGGAGGTGAGCGACTGGTACGTGCCACGCCCAACAGCACGAAGTGAATTTTATGAAATTTATGCGCATTTCACTAGAAAATTTAATTAGGAAATCTAATTTGCTCAAAAGCGCATAAAAAATGTCAGCCAGCGTGGAAATAGCTGCTGCTGCTGGCTGCTGCTGCTGCTGCTGGCTGCCTGCTGCCTGGTGCCTGCTGCTTGGCCGCCATTTTGGTTCACTCAGCTAGCCGCAGTGTCTATGCGAGTGTGTGTGTGTGCGTTTATTGTCTGTGTGGGTGGCAGAGCGAGAGAGAGAGAGAGGGTGTGTGGAAAGGGAGGTAGCAAGAAAAGTGGAAGTGGGGCAGAGGCATGCATCAAGTAACCAACAAAATGACTAATTCGTGGCTCATGTGTGAGCTGACGCGCTGTCTATGTGTGTGTGTGTGTGTGTGCCGTATAAACAGTTGCAAGGCAAAATACGCTAATAAAGTGGCTGAGCTGTGTCGCTGGCAGCAGCAGCAGCAGCAGCAGCGACGCAAGCAGCGCAGTCGCCAAGCGAGGGCGGAGTATTTGCAATTTGCATTAGCGTCAAAGTGGCTGCGTTTCTATGCATGTGTGAGTGCGAGTGTGAGTGTGTGTGTGTGCGCGTGTGTGTGTGTTGCCTAGCTAGCTATCTTGCTCACGCCCAGGCAGTGGCATTTGGCATTTGCTGACTTCTTGCCAGCTCTTTTTTATTTCTACTAATTAGAAATTAAATTCAATTATTTGCTTGAGAAATCAAAAAACAAAAAAAAATACAAGCCATAAAATAGGGCAAAAGTGAGACAGAGAGAGAGAGAGAGAGGGGGGAGAGGGAGAGGGAGAGGGAGAGGGAGGAGAGCGGTAGAGCTTAAGGATATATTTATTAAATAATTAAAACGGAATTAGAGAATTGTCTTCAGCGTATAAAGTCAAAGTAGCATCACAATGAAAGTCATATAAAGAACATCAAAAGATATAGAAAATATAAACAGAGTATGGAAATACTTGCTTGAAGTTCAGCTAGGTTGTTATGGGATGGGAAAGACCTAGGAAGGTAATCTTAATGAACTCAGCTTGAGAGTAAAGGGAGAGAGGGAAAGAAAGAGGGGCAGAAAAAGAGGCAAAGGAAGACATAGGAGCGAGGCAAACAGAGAGAAAGAGAGGGAGGGAGAGTGAGAGAGAGAGACAGAGGGGGAGAGAGAGGAAGACAGAGAGAGAGAGAGAGAGAGAGAGAGAGCGAGATAGTAGGATTGACTGAGGGAATACGAAAGATAGAAGGATATACAGATAATAAGAAAGATGAAGAGAGTGAGAGGCAAGGAAAGTGGGAGAGAAAAAGAGAGAGAGAGCGCTAAGACAGAAGAGAGAGAGGGCTGAAGAGAGGGAGATAGAGCCACTTAGATTTGTCGCACAGTAAAAGGACAATCAAGCTAACTTAGTCTTAGAGTCTTAGTCGAGGCAAAGGAAACCAATTGAAATGAAGAAAAAGAAGAACCAAATCTTATTTGTGATTTTGGCTGACAGCTTTTACATTTATCCAAGGAAACTTCTTATATGAGACTAGATGAGATTCTTCCCTCTTCTTCAGAATAATCAAATAGAATTCAGTTTCCATCTGAACCTAATCAAACTCACTCTCTCCGTTGTCTGCCGCGAACTGCGAAGCATCCAAAAATAAGACCAAAATAAAATCTATGTGCATAAATCTTGTAGTCTGACGTCATTTAGTGCTCAGCCTAAAGCCGCTCCCCGCTCCTCCTCTCCCTCTCTCCGCTCTGCTCTGCTCTGCTTGGGTGTTCGTCGTAATTTGCGCACTCAATGGAAAATTGTTAATTAGATTCCTTGCTTGCCGTGTGACTTTGTCTTCTTCACCACGTCGTCGTTGTCGTCGTCGTCGGCCATTGTTCTGCTGCTGCCTCCCCTCCCCCTCACTCGCTCCCTCTTTCTCTCCCTCTCTCTATGTGCTTTGACCCCTCACTCTATCATATTCAAAGCCCTTTGCCGTCCCGCTTTGGCGCATGCCCCACGGCTGAAGCGTTTTAGCCGTTGCCTTTGTGTCAAAGTTGGTTAACGTGATTGCTGTTGGCCCTTTGCCGACTGCAGGCCCCTCGCCCGACCTCAACTGCCAATTGTTTTAAACCACCTTTCCGCTTCAACGACTCAGCGAACCCAACGAACTTTAAGTGCAAAGCATTTTACAACGGCGAGGGCCAAGAGGAGAGCGCAATTTTTGCACTAAACTTTTTGCTCTTTCACTTTTTACTAACACCATGTATGTGAGTGTGTGTGTGTGTGTGTGTGTGTGTCGTGTGCGCTCAGGTTTCGGTTTAGTGAAATCTCTTCAAACGGTAACGAGTGCAGGAAATAACACGGATGCGGGCTACGAAACATCTGAACATCCGGACATGAAGCACAGCACACAGAGTGGCGGTGGGCGGCGTGGGCATGGGCGTGGGCGTGGCAATTGGTTAGTGAATCTGCTAAACGCTGCCAACTCAAATGGGCCATTAGCTGAGCAGCCAAATAAGCCAGCAAAGGCAATTGATGCATTAACACATTCAGTCGCTCAATTTGAACACATTTGCGTATTCGCAACTAATTCATTTGCTCAAATGCCTCACGTGGATGCGTCAACGTGTGCGAATGAGGCATGCAGCGCAGTGACAACACGGCCCAAGCTGCGGCTGCTGCCTGCGGCAGTAGTGCAAGGCAGCGAAAAGGAAGCCAAGCAGGAGCCCAGCTGGAACTTGAGCGCAGCTTGAGCAAGCGATTGCTACGAGTGCTCTGAGTGAGGGAGTGCCTGACTAGCGAATACCCAGGCTGAAGCAAGTTTCTAAAGGCATCTGAAACTTGCAACTATATTGAATGAAGTCTCGAGCCTTTTCAGCTATACAAATGACAGAGTTTATAAGGATGGACAGACGGGCGGACAGGAGGACAAGAAGACGGGCTAAGATACTAAAATACAGATAGACGGACAGAAAGGTGTGCGGAAAGACGGAAGGACAGACGGTCGAATGGAAAGAAGCAAAGAACAGAAGGGCGAACGTAGAGACGTACGGAGCAAGGGCGGACAACAGATGGACAAAGGGTCGTCCCTCTGTAGAAGGACGTAGAGATGGAAGATTGAAGCTAGAGAAGGTGCCCACAACAGGCCAACGGAAAGAGATAGACTGAGCAAAGGCTAGCCACTCTGAAGGACGAACAGGCGATGGGGGCAGTCAGCCCGTTGTCCTGCTCCAGAATATATACAACTAATCTGATAGATCTGTTATATTATGATAATAGTGCAAATGTTAAGGCATAATTTTAGTTTATTCTTGCATCAATTGAGCTATGATATTAGTGAAACAAGCCGAACTCCGCCACAGGTTGTCAGCAAGCAGCAGCAGCACAAGAAGTTGTCAACGTTTTTACCCCTTGCCGCTGGCGAAGCTCATAAGCAATTGACAGATTCACTCAACTGGTGTGTGATGCGAAATGCGATTGGTTCCACATGTGCCAAGTGTGTGTGTGTGTGTGGTGTGTGTTGGTTGTGTGTGTTTGTTTCAATTAAGCGCAAAGCAGAGGCCGTGGGCTGCCAGCTCAGCAAATGCATTCGCCATGGCCAGCAAATAAAACTTAGGCACGCTCCAAGGCCGAGCAGGGTTGAGCAGCAAGGCAAGGGTTACAAGCAGCCGCTGGGCGAAGGTGCAGCGCGGGGCCGAGGCAAGGGCTCTAAAAAAATGCCAATTAAAATCTTAGCCGGGACAAGTGCATCATCAGGCAAGACAAGACAAGACAAGACAAGGCTGACAAAAGAGTGAAGATGAGCTGGAGCGTGGAGCTCTCTCTCTCTCTCTCTCTCTCTCTCTCTCTCTCTCTCTCTGGCTGCTTAACTCAAGTGAAGAATAGAGACACAAGGGAAATTGCCCCACTTGACGCCTTTGTGTGGGGCTCGCCTTGCTATCCGCTAGCAAATGGCTCAAAAGTGGCTGCTTTTCTTTGCGTCTTCCTCTGCTGCGACTTCAATCTTGCTGCTGTTGTTGTTGCAAGTGAAGAATGCAAGCGTCAAGTGGCTGCTACTAAAATACTTAAGCAGCGCACTTCTGGCCTGCATACAAGAAAAAAAAATTAAAAACAAAACAGAATTGCCAAGAATGCGCTGGCAAGTGGCAAAGTTCGTGCTAACCAGAGATTAGAGATTAGAGCCAAGTGCGAGGCAACACAAAATGGCAATTAACCAGGTCTAGACAACAACAGCAACCAGCTAGCTCCAGCTGAAGCAACAGGAACTTAAACTAATCAAAGGAGAACTACGATTTGTGAAGTTATCGATAGCTATTAATAGTAAATAAACTTAGTTATCGATAGTTATCAATTGTTGTATTCAATAAGTTATTGATATACTCAGATTTAATGATCATTCAAAGCATATATTAAAATTTTCTTAGATTAGCTGTTATCGATAAATCGCATTAGTCAATATATCGATTTACTGATACTGCTTTAGCAGTGCTAAGCGAAAAAGTATCAAAGATTAACCATTACTATCTTAATAGCTATTATCGATTGTTATCGACTTTATTGCCTAACAATCGAAGTTATCGATAGTTCATATTAGGTATAATTATCGATTTAACTGTGTTAAATAAAAACGAATCAAACATTGCTATTGATAGCTATCATCAATTGTTATCGATTGTTATCGACATTCTTATTAAGTTATCGATTTACTTATACAAAGTTCGTTTATGATAAGAGGTATTTAAATTATAGCTGAACTATTATAGATATTCATTTCTATCGTATCTATCGATTGTAGACTCTATCGAGCTTATCGATAACAAAGTATGTATCGGAATGAACTTGTTCCAAATCGAATTGGCCGCAGATGTTCCCGTTCCAGTTAAGCTCATGTGTTAAGACAAACAATTCAATTTATACAGTGCACTACATGCTTTCACACAGCAGCGCTGGCAACCCTTTGTTCCAATTGGATTTTGTGCCTCTTATTGGATAAGTTTATGTGCGTCTCGCAATTTCTTTCGCTTTTGTTTTTTCGTTTGCTTGTTTTCGGGCATGTGTGTGCCGAAAGGGTTAAAGCACACACACAGGGACACACTGACAGGGATGTCCTGTGCTGGCGTCAAGGATGTGTGGAGGATGTGTGCGAGATGTATGTGCGTGTAAATTGCGTATAAAAACGTATGTTGAAAATATTTATTGCCCGTTGCGAATGCAACAAAATGAAAATGAAAATGGAAATGAAAATTTCATTAGTTGACTTCTGTCACACACACACGCACTCACACACTCACACACACACACACATGTGAGTGTTTTTTCCTTTCGTGTTTTTTTGCTGCTTGTTTTAAGCTAAATTGTTTATTTTATTAGCAATTTGGAAGATTTATGAGTTCGCCAGGATCTCTCAACGTGAAATGAAGCGCCGGAATGCCCATTAATTAGCGTGCAGCTAGACTGGAGCGGGAGAGAGAGGCGAAGCTTGAATGGCGGCTGCCCTCTGTGGGTCAGTTTTTGCGGCAAAGCTTCGCAAGGACTCGACTCGAAGCCCGCGCATTGCCTACCTTTAGGCGATTCTCTTAATATTTCCTAATACTATTTAAATTCAGCTTTCGCTTACCCGTTAAGCATGTTCCAGTGCCAGCGAAGTTCTTCAGTTGAGGAAATCCTGCGAAGAAAAGAATAAAACAGAGACTGAGTAGAGCTTATCGATAGTTATCAATAGCTATTATCGATACATTTTTATTGGATTTGTTATTCAGTTATCAATTTATACCAAAACTAAAAGAATGTTATCGATTTGCTTAAATATAAGGAGTTATAGAAGTTGAATGTCATCGATAATCGCTTGTGTAATCGATATTTCTTAAGAAAACTATGACAATGTATGGAAATCAATAATGTATCGATATTTGAATATCGATAATATTTCGATATTTGAATACCGATAATATATCGATATTTGAATATCGATAATATATCGATATTTGAATATCAATAATCTGTCCATTAAGTATATTGGTAAGTAATATCAAATATATGCTTATCGATATCGGATCGATAATATGTATCGATAAAATGTATCGCTTTTCCATACTCATAGTCTCAGACTGTTTGAGAGTCGTAGGCAGAAATTTCGAGGCAGCCTTTGACTCACTGATGCGCAGGACAATCGAACTGCAAACAGAGTATTGCGCAGTCGGATGATTTCGCTTGCTTCCTGTATGCTGTGCTGGCTCATTAGTCGTCGCATTTATTAGCCCTATGAAGACGGTCGGCTCCAACGACCTGACCCTGACAGCGCTTCATCTTGTGTGCCACCAAACTCGGAGCTCTGCAGCAGAAATGCAAATCGAGCTCGAGGTCAGCTCGGAATGTCGAGAGTGGCAGAGCCGGAGCGAGCGATCTCCGCTCGGAGTGACATATCAAAGCACAATCAAATTTGACAGACAACCGCGCTAATTTCTGCTCGATGTTTGATTGTTTCAAGGCGTCCATCGGCTGTGCGTTCGCTTGCCCAGAAAGGGGTTGCGTCTCGCAGTGCAGAGCACAAGGACCACTCGGGCCAAACCAGTGGCTGGCTGTCGCACATGGCCTATGCGAATATGAAATACGCTCGACTTGTAAATATCTATATGCATAAGCTATATACTTGCGATCGAGTCATATGATATGGTAGTTGGGTTTACAGGGCTAAGATTTCACTAAACAAAAAGTCTTTAAGCAAACGAACTTTGTTTAATAGCACATCATTCAAGAGCTCTATTCTCTAGCGGTAATGCCATCGACAACTATATTATATATAGAAGAATATATAGAATATATATGCTATATAGAATATATATACGCTATGCATTACATAATGCATGAGCAATGCGCAAAGCTCTTTGTTAGAGTATAAAATGCTGCAAGCACAATAAGCGAGCTTAGAGAGAGAGAGGGGGAAGTTGAGCGCTCAACTGAAGCCATACACAAGAGTGTATGCATGTATGTGTGTGTGTGTGTGTGCGCGCGCGAACACGTGTGTGTGAACCCTACACCAAACGCGGCGAGTGAAGCGGAGGATGTCAACAATCAGCACACATCAAACTGGAAACTACATTTATTAGCTTTCGCCTCGTTGCCAGACTCCTCAGCTCGTCGGCCCCGCCAAGTTCGAAGTCCCTTGGCCACCCCCATGCCCTCTCGCCTCTGGCCGCTTAGTAACCGCTGTGGCATGTCAACGGCAATCAGCAGTCGCTGCCACTGCCGCTTGTTGATTTACCAAGAATTTTGAAATTGTGAAATTCGATATTGCGCGAAATTTGTGCTGTAAGGAATTGTGAGTACTTCCATGTGTGTGTGTGTGTGTGAGCTGAATGTGAAAACGCACAGCTCTATAGAAATGCAAGTGACGAAGTATTTATAAACTGATTAAGGCTAAACAATAGCTGATATGGGTCGACACGAAGCGAGCCGAGCAGAGCGGCGCTGCTTGCTGCGGCTTACGCAAAATTTACAGCTAAACTTGCAACAGACACACACACACACAAACATACACATATTCCTAATCGCGACCACACAAAGCGTGTTGCCACGCCCCCCTCTCAGCACCGCCTTCCGGCGCTCCAAAGTGGAGCCAAAACAAAAAGTCGCATCGTGAGCTCTGGCAGCTCAACAAAGTAGCCCTTGCTCTGTATAAATATATATATATATATATATATATATGTGTGTGTGTGTGTGTGTGTGAGCATGTGTGTGTGTAGCGGGTCAAGTGTATAGCAGCTGGCAATAGGTGCGGGTTTCAATTGCCAACGTGAGAGCATTCATTGTTGTTGCGACTAATTTGAAGACTAATAATTGTGAGTGGCAAAGTGAATGTAATGTGAATGCATTCAAATATAGTGAATACATTCATTTGACTCACAGTCATAGTCAGCATGTGCATTTAAAACCATTTCGCACACACTAAATTCAAAGTTGTGCATTGAATATAAATGTGAATATAATGTGAATACATTCGAATATAGTGAGTACATTCAATTGACTCATATTCTTAGTTAGTTTATTCATATAAAAACAATTTCTCACACATTAAACTCATAGTTATGTGTGGAATATAAATGTGAATATAATGTGAATACATTCGAATATAGTGAATACATTTATTTGAATCATTCAAGTTAACTTCATTCAATCGTATTCCTTAAGCGCAAATTTTACGTATTGAATACACATCTGAATACCTATATGAATATATGTGAATATATTCGAATTTAATGAATGGATTCATTGCTTCATTGTATTCGATGGGTACGAGACTATAAGCGCAGCCATAATGTAAATACACTCATGAGCACAATGAATGCACTCATAAAAACATTCAACCTTCTGTGGAGTGAATACATTTAACTGAATTATTCGTTTTTATGATATGAATATCACGCATGTAGTTAATAATAGAATAATAGCGAATAACTTTACTTGACTGCTATTTAGTCATGAATATATGTGAATACACTCACTTACAATTTTATTACTATTTCATGGAATTTGATCTATGCGAATACACTCATGAATGCATGTGAATCAAATTAATATTGAGTGAATACATTCATATGCGCATCATTTTAGTACTTTTGTGTGAAATCAATTAAGTAAATAGCAAAGTGCTTTGAATATCAGGTGAATACACTCACATGCTCATGCATTCATTCATTCAATCAATCATGGACAACGATTCGAACAGGTCGGCAACTGTTTGGGCAACGTGCTCAAATCGTTGAGTGTCCACTTCAAATGAATATTTGTTGATGAATACTCGAATCTCAATCTGAATCGGACTCTGAATCGGAATCTCAATGAATGTGCGCTGCATAATTAGCAGTCGTCGACATCGAGCAGTGAAAGCAGCTAAAAATAGCCAAAAATCAAAATCAAAATCAAAACAAAAATAAAACAAAGCAACAATAAAATAAATGAATATATAACTCAAACCAAATGATGAAAGAGAAAAATATGTCCAAGCAACGAATACCAAATACCCTTCGAACCAAGCTGAAACTGCTTAATATATATATATAGATACAGACACAGACACAAATGCAGATACAGATACAGATACACATACAGATAAAGATGCAGATAAAGATACAGATACAGATACAGATACAGATACATTTATAGATATAGATACAGATACAGATAAAGATGCAGATTCAGATGCAGATGCAGATACTCTAGCTATATCATGTATTTATACAGATATCCGATAGATAGACTCCTGGATACAGATACAAATGCCCCTAGATACATTCAAGTGCGAAGCTTTCTAATGCTCGTTGCACTCTCGATGATAGAGTCACAAGACTCTCGACAGTTTGTGTATTCAAAGTCTATTTGAATATCTAAAATGCGATGCGATTCGATTCGATTCATGAGGATTCGAAACGAGCCGCTGAAGAAGCAAAGCCAGCGCGTAGCGTCTCACATGGAGGAGGCTCAAGTGCCAAATCGTGTTTATTTGCGCCAAAATAAAAAAAAAAAAAAACAAAACAAAAAAATAAAATTACCGCAACGTCAGCTTTCAGCTGTATCTGTATCTTGAGCAGTCCATTTGTATCTACAGCAAAGTATCTGTCTTCATAGAATTGTATCTATATCTGAGCCAATTTATAAATAACAATGTATCTGATGCTATGGGAAAGTATCTGTAAGTCATGCTGTGTATCTGTATCTGTAACTGAAGCAATGTATCTGATGCTATGGGAAAGTATCTATGACTCAGCAATGGATCTGTATCTATACTAATGTATCTGTCTCTATAGATGTGTATCCATATATCTGTATCCTATAACTAAACATATATTAATCTGCATCTATATCTTAAGCAATGTATCTGTATCTATACTCACAACAAGTATCTGTATCTCTATATCAGATCTATCTGTACATCAATCTATATGTAGATAAAGATACTATTTATATGTCCCATGGGCTGCATCTAGCTGTATCTATAACAAAGTATCTGTATCTATAGCAATGTACAAAGTATCTCGTTCGCTGTATCCGCATCTGTGCGCTTGGCTTTTGGGCACGATCGCCTCGCTGTTGATTGCCATGTGACGCTGCAGAAAATCTGGCATATGATTATGTGCTATATATATACCACACACACACACATACACACACACACACAACTATTATTATTGTAATTACAAATATAATTAGTGAGATTTTGTATTTATTTGGTGAGTTTTGCTCATTTATTAAATTTAATTGCGGCTAATTTCGCTTTAATGCGAGACAAACCTTACAGTCACACACACACACACACACACACTCACTCGCACACACACAGTAAATTAACCCCTCGAGTGGCACTCAGTTTCGTTTGTCAAGTTGCTTTAATTGACTTTTAAATTTATAAAAAAAAAAGAAACCGAAATTCACAAAAAATCAAAGCGAAGCAGATTGAGTGTGCGAGTGGGGCAGGGGGGTGGAGTGGGGAAGGGGGTGGGGGAAGCGGATTCTTTTAAAGTGCAACTGCAACAACAGCAGCAATTGCACTCTCGTGTCGGCGGCGTTCACACCTCGGACAATGCGATCAAGTGGCATGCAGCATGCGGCACATGCGACAGAGTCAGCGTCAGGGCGTGGCAGGGCAAGCGCCAGCGGGCGGGCTGGCTCGCGCGACTGGGCGGTGTTTGGGGCACTTGGCTGGACGGCTGCAACGGGATGAGATTTGCATTCAACTCAGCCACAAGCCAGAGCAGCGGCAGAGGGTATTCTGGTTTCGGCATTACTTATGCCGTTAGATTCATATACAATCCAAGTCAAAATCTGTGTCTGTGTGATTTCGATCTCACAACGAACCGATTGCGAAATTTGTTGGCAAGCCTGCATACAGGGTATTGCCTAGTCGAGCATGGCCCACCAGTGGCACATGCTTTGTGCTGTTTCTTTCAGCACTGTTGAAAATGTGCGTCAAAGCAAAATCAAAGCAAAGTCAAAGCAAGTTTGTCTGGCCAGGGTCTAGAGGTAGTTGGCCCCTCGCTTCCTCTCCCTTTCTCGTTCTCGCTCGCTCTCACTCGCTCTCTCTCTCTGTCTAGCACATGGAGACCGCACACATTGCGAACGGCGCACAATTAAGAATATTTCTATCAGCCTACAAAGTGGGACAGCAGTAGGCGGGCCAGGGGCGGCGGCCTGAGGCTATTAGCAAACTGTCTCAAATATCAAAGGGCAGTCGCCTGACGGACAGGGCGTTTGGCTCACTCACAGAGCATCATCAGCAGCAATTGACATGCAGCAATTAGCAGAAGGTGGCCAAACACATTTATCTATTACATAATTATTCAATTGTTGCAACATTGCAATATGTTAATCACACGTGTGTCTCGGCTTTACAGCCAGGCAAACAATAGTCTCTCGACTTCATATTCAATTCAATTACAACGTTTTTTCATTTCCATTTGCCTGATTTAATTTACAGTTGAGCAATGAGTTCAATCAAGCTATAGATATATATATATAAAGCCTTGTTCATAAAAATAGTAGTGCGACTGAGCACCAAGTGTTGGACCACAAAATTTTACTGATAAGCCCAATGTTTTGAAAACAATTTGAAACAAATATTTGTATCCACATATTTCTCAATAATTTTGATGTTTTTTTTTCTTGCAACAAGCTGGGACACATGTGCGCCGTAGGCCTTGAGCAAGAGAAATTAACAAAATTGAGTTGTTCATAAAAATAGTAGTGGTAATTAAATAGGAAAAATACTAAATATATATATATATATATATATATATATATATATATATATATATATATATATATATATAAATGGATTTACAACTAAATATTAGACCTAAATATAATATATAAAGACTAATGCTAACCAGTTTATTCTTCTTTATTTCTGCTCAACTTTATCTAGATATATGCATATAGATATGGATCTATCTAGATATGTACACAGTCTTATCTTATGAGCTGACAGACGAGTATATCGAATGAATTCATACACTTTCTATTATACAATTTCTATTAAGAAAATATTCAATATTTCGAAGAACTTAAGGTGGATGTCTATACACAGTGCTGGTCAACTAATCACGTTTGATTTTCTTGCGAGTTATATCTGTGCAACGAAAACTTCAATTCGAATTATGTTCAAGTCAATTAAGAAAAAGAAGAGTTTCTGGTCTGCAACTCTAGTTTTTATATGATTTTTATTAATTTTTTCAATAATTGGACTATATAAATTAATTTAAATATATTCCCATATCTTTATAGATTTTTGTTATATATATTTCGCAAGTTATATATTTTGCAAGCGCCAAAAAAAAAAACAAATTGAAAAAAGTCAAAGAAATAATATGGAAATGGTTAATTTAAGCCGAAATGTAATTTGCCAAAGGAATGCGGCGACGTGACCCCGCCAATGCCCAGCAGATGGCGCTTCAAAGCTAAAAATGCGGCACAAAAGCTTTGCGCTATCAATTTGCAATAATATGAGTATGTGTGTGTGTGCTTGTGCGTGTGTGTAAACACATCAAAACGACTGTCACAACAAAGCGACAAGAGCCAAAGTGAAAATTGTCAATTAAAATATTAAAAAAGAAAAGAAGAAAATATATTTCAGTACTCACACACATATAAGTATACATATATATGCATACAAGTGCAAGTTTATGCGTGTACTGTGTATATAGATAAATGGCTAGTGGTGTTACCAATTTGGCGATTTGGTTTTTGGTTTTTGGTTTTCCTTGTTTCCGTCTGTCTGTGTAAAAGATCAAAGGCACTTAATGGCCCAGCTGAGTGTGACCGTTTGCAGCGAGGTCGGGTGAAAAGGGGACGGAGGGTTGGTGGTGGTGTGTGTGAAGGCGCCATTTGGGTGGCAGGAAATCCGTTTTGGGCTTTTGGCCTCAAACTTGACGCGACTTTAATTGACGAAAGGGGCAAATGGGAAAAATCAACAAAAGTGTAAAAAATCAACGAGACAAACAACACGCACACACGCACACACAACCGCACACAGACGCGCACACGCACACAAAGAAGAGTTGGCAAAGCAGAACGTAGCAGCAGCAGCGGCAACAATATGCAAAATTAAATAAGATGACGCGAATAAAAAAGCGCCAACAATAACAGTTACCAACAGCAAAAGCTGCGCCAAAAGTTCTTTCTCACATTTATTAAACAAATTACGCGAACACGGCACAAAGCAGAGAAAATATGCGATAAATAAATACACATAAGCATACAAAAACACACACACATGCCAGTATGTGTACATGCATGCACAATTAATAAGCGAACCAAATAAAAACAACAACAATGCAGAAAGAAAAGAGAAAGCAAGCAATGCAAAAGAAACATCGTCCGGAAGTTTCTAACAAACAAATTCGAATTGAGCTTGGCGAAAGAAAGAGCAAAAAAGGGAACGCATGGAAAAGACAGCTGAGTGTAAAGTGTAGAGTGTAGAGTGTGGAGTGTAGAGTGCGTGCGCTATTTTTGCTCATTCTGTATATGTTTCTGTGGGAGCAGAGTTGGAGTGCAGGCTAGCGACAAGCATAACTTCAATTTGGCACAGTGAAACACTAACAACAACATGATAAGTGATGACGATGACATTTCAACGCTAATTAAAATAATAATAACAATAACAACAGTATCAACCACAGCAACAATAACAGTTGGCACTTCAAGCAGCCAGATTATCTGTCGTGTATGTGTGTGTGTTTAAGTATATAGGTGCATATGTATGTACATATATGCCAGAATGTTTGTGTGTGGGAGAGTCAATCGTTGCGCGAGCTTCAATTTGCTGCTCGCTGTTGTTGTTGCTGCTGCTGTTTTGTTGTTGTTTTTGCTGCCCGTCTCGCTACGGTAATATTGCCACTTGCTCGACTTAAGCTCGCGCTCTCTCACTGCCTCTCCCGCTAACCGTCCAATACGGCTATGTTTCTTTTGTCGCTGATCCGCAGACAAAGTCGTGATTTACAGTGAGACCAGATAGCAAACTATTTCAAATACACATTTCAAGCGTTTCATGCAGACAAACGTGCATGCTCTTTATTGCAAGTCAAATTAAATGTAATAAATATAATTAAATCTAACATAATTATTAAGTAATAATAATGAAATATGTATTTATCTTGACTCGTGCTCTATCTTACTTCTCAGTTTATTTTGGAATTAGAAACAGTTTTCTTCGTATTATTTGATCAATTTCTAAGTCTCTTAAAATTTTGTTTTGCCCCACTGTGGCTATGTTTGTAGCTTCTCTTCCACACATGCTCACACAGAGCTATATACATATATATATATAAGCAATTGCCATTGCAATTAGCAGCTCAACTTGAGTGGAGAGTTGAAGGTGGAGTGAAGTGGCTCAAAAGCTGCAGCTTGAGCCGTTGTCTATGTGTCTGTGTGTCTGATGGGCTCGTTGATTAATTTCTTTTTTATGCAAACTAAGCGGCTCTCGTCGCCTTGTGTGTTGGTGTATGTGTGTGTGTAGTGCAGGTGACAAAACCAGTTGCCGATTATTCGATCTGTAACTGTAACAGCGGCAACTGAGGGGGGGCTTTAAGTGGGGACTTTTTTGGGGTGTTTCGCTTACCCTGCGCATGCAGCAGCGGGTGATGCGGTGGCATTGGTATTGCTGCTGGCAGCGGCGGCGGCGGTGGCTGCTGCTGCTGTTGCTGCGTGTGATGCTGATGTGGATGATGCGGATGGTGATGTGTATGCGGATGCGAATGCGGATGTGAATGCGGATGATGATGATGATGCACTGCAGCGGCCAGCTGATGGGGCATAAAGGCTGCGGCCACAGCTGCGTGTGCATTGAAATACGCCATGCGCGAGGCTGCGGCCATGGTTAGCTGTTGTTGTTGTTGTTGCTGCTGGTGATCCCTAAAATGTTGCTGCTCCAAAGTAGCCAAGCTGCCTACTGTTGCTGTTGTTGCTGCTACGGCTGCTGCTGCTGCCAAGTTGCCGTTGCTGCCACTGTTGCTGTTGTTGTAATGCGCTGTATTTGTTGCTATCGTAGCTGGTGTTGTTGTTGTTGGTTTTGGCGGCGTTGGCGTTTCGCGCGCGTTGCCAGTTGTTGCCGTTGTTAAATCGGTTGGCGTTTCGCATGTTGCAGCTGCAGCTGTTGTTGCTGTAATTGTTGTTTTAGTGGCACTTGTAGTTGTTGTTGCTTCTGCTGTTGTTGTAGTTGCTGCTGCCGCAACGGCCAGGCCGAGCAGCTCTTGTATGGCAAATGGCGAACGCTGCGGCATTGCGCTCGCTCTCTATCTCTCTCTCTCTCGCCCTACCTTGCTCTCTTTTACTCTCTTTAATTAGTTATTAGTAACTGTGACGAGTTCAAATTCGAATTCGAATTCGAAACGCTTCCCAATATTTTGGACTGCTTCGCAAAATCGCAAATGTATTCGACTGTTGTTGCTTTTGTTTTATTTTGTTTTGTTTGCTTTTAATTAAAACAGTACTTCAAAGCTTTGGCCACTTGCGCTCTCTTTGGCGCGCTGGCTGTTGCTCTTTAGCTATCTCTCTCTCTCTCGTTCGCTCTCTCTCTTTCTGTGAGCTAATATGCCGGCTGCTCGTGTGTTATTTGTTCGTCTATGTGTGTGTGTGTGAGTGTTTACAGCTATCTGTAGGCCGGCAACAATAACAATCGTGTATAACTGCACTTAACACTAAAAAAATGATTTGTGCTGTTGCTGTCGTTGTTGATGTTGCTGTTGTTGTTATTGCTGACAATTTGCTCGCGTTTGTCACGCGTTGATTTTATTTTTTCTTGTTTGTCGCTTGTGTCGCCTGTCGCAAAAACACACAACAAATTCGCAATAATTTCCACGTTAAACTGTTGCCTGACTTAATGTGCAGCAGGAGTTTTGTCGTCGCCATCGCCATCGCCGTCGTCGTCGTCGTCGTCGTCGTCGTTGTTGTAGTCGTCGTCGTCGTCGTCTACGTCGATGCCTGCCCCAGCTTTGGTGGTTGGGACCTACTGGCTAGAAAGTCGCTGAGCGGTCCATCCAACGGTGGCATGCAACGTGCACGGGCAACGGCAACGGGATTTTTTTAGCCTGACTTGATCCTTGGCAGCGACGTTGCCGACGCTGTCGCTACTGTAGTCGTTGTCGTCGCAGCGCTGCTGCTGCGCCGTCCGCGTCGCTGCTGCGGAACGGTAAACCAACGCTAGCTTCAGGGGCGGCGTCTGTTCACTGCCGCAGCACTAGCTGTGCCGCTCACACACATTAAGTCAGACGGCGTGCGCGTTAGTGTGGCAATTTCCCCTGCATAGTGACTAAGCCCAACATGGCGCATGTGCGCAACAACATTGCGTGTGTGTGAGCGGCACAGCTGCTGCCTGCCAGCGTTCGGCTAGTTGAGCCGCTCTAACGCACACAGTACTTCCAGTTAGCTGGAAGGCTTCCAGTCGTTCAACCAGTTTTGCTTGTGTGTGTGCGCCGAGCTACGCAAGTGTTGGTGCACTTTTGAGTGTGTGTGTGCGTAGTGCCCATTTTGTATTGTTTGTGGTGTTGGCTGTCGCTGCCGCTGCCGCTGTCGCTGTCACTGTGCTGCTGCCGTCGCTGCGGCCGTTAATGGGGTGGGATCTGCGGCAGCGGTAAGTTTCGGCTCGTTCAATGAAGGACGCCAATTTATAGCCGAAAAGGAAAAAAAAAAACAAAACATATAAAATGAGCTGAGCAGGAGTTGTAAAAACTACGTGTAGCAGTTGATGTTATTGTTGTTTGTTTAGTGGGCCGCACACTAAAAAAGCCGTCTAATTAAAATGTTGCAGAGCTCTCACCATGAAAATGGCCAAAAGTAACTGTTCAAACAAGGCGCACAGCTGGCGAAGCGAACATCAAGCTAGCCGATCATGACATACTCCAATTCAATGGCAAATAGCAAGCAATGTGACAACTACAATTGCCAGGCACTTGGCAAACGCAACGGTGCTTTTGTCATTACCGAATAAGCGTCGCTTCAAACGGTTTTTCTCACGCCCACACGCGCCATTAGCAGCCGCTATAGCAACTGAAACGTCAGCCCACGCGCGAGCTTTTTTCGCCGTAAGTCTATTAAACAATCGAAATGCCAAAGCTACAATTACAACAACAATGAATAGCGCTCTCACGACAAAACTTCGCCGTCGCCGTCGTTGCTGTCGTTGTCGTCGCCGACTCTTTGTCTACGACAGCGGCAACGCAGTCTAGAGACGTCTGCCGAGGCTAGCTGTGCGAGGGAGATGGCCAGCGCCTAGCACTAGATTGGCTGCGACGTGAGAGCGAGCGAGCGACCCAACGATCGCGCTTAACTGCGTAGCTCGAGAATGCGTCGCGGCGTAATTCGATATTTTTCTGCGCAGGTTGTGCGATCCTGGCTGGAAGCGAATATGGAATGTGGAATGTGGGAAGCAGATCGGGGAAGGGGAAATATTGAATGTGCATGATTCACGATTTAGGAATTTTTAATGCGAATTTTCCCATATTTCTAAGCGCTTATTGTTAATTAACTTTGCAATTAAGGACAATGCCAATAAGAAAATACGAAAATCTCAACTACAATTCATTTTCTGTCAAAATATAAATATTGAATTTCCTCTAATCCCAATAATGATGTCTATGATGATAATGATGATAACGATGATAATAAGCGCTTAACTGGTAATTCGATATGCTGGCATAGTTTTCATATTAGGCAGCAACAACAACAACAACAACAACTTTCAGCTGGCGATCATTTGGCTACACTTCAAGCCAGCGTGTGTGTACGAGTGTGTGTGTTGTGTGTGTGTGTGGATGTCCTTAAGCCGTTTGTCCTTCAACTAGCAGCTTTGTTTTGCAAATATTTTGACGTGCGATTCTCACAGCGCTTAACAAAACATACCTGAAATCATTCTTTCATTGTGTATACCCTGTTCGCCAACTGGCAAGCGGGTATACACAAATACACTCTTTAGAGCACAAAACGATATACCCTGTTGAGCGAGATAGCTTGATCAGTTTGACAGTGGCTCGGCCATTGTTCGCAGGGTATATCATAGTCGTTCATCTTCGTTGCTTTGTGGCTAAGGCTATGTCCGACATACAGGGTGCCTCGAGTTGTCAGTGTGGTAGTCGAGTGGCCGACAAATGATTCAATTATCGCTTTAGCACTCAAGTGGAGCGTTTCAAGTGCGAAAGTTGCCCAAAAACACAACGAAGAAGAAGAAGCAGATGGAGAAGCAGCAGCAGCAGCAGCAGCAGCAGCAGCAGCTGAAGTTCGAGTTTCGAATTACCAAAAAAAAGGGGGGAGGTGAGGAAAACGAGCGACTGTCAATTATGTTTCGAGTTGTATTTGAACTACTCAGCGATTGTGGCAAACAATGCGACAAAGCTTAATTATTAACGAATCAAGTTCAGTTGGAGAGAGGGGGACTGAGAGAGAGAGAGAGAGGTAAGAGGACACGGAGAGAGATTAAAAGTAAGATAAGGAGAGAGAGACACATACAGACATTAAGAGAGAACGAGAAAGTAGGAGATGAAAAGAGAGTAAGACAGATGGAGCAAGAGAGCTGGAATGAGATATAGTCAGAAATGAACAGAGAGAATGAGAGAGAAAAAGTAAGAGAGGGAGAAAGTTGAAAGAAGAAATAGAAACTAGAAAAGAAATGAAATGAAATAGAGAGGGATAGCTAGAGAGTGTGATCAAAAGAGAGTGAGAGAGACAAATAGAGAGAGATGAACGATTGATGGAGACAGTGAAATAAAGAGGGAGTGAAATGGAGTAAGATCAAGAGAGAGAGAGAGAAAGAGAGAGTGAAATCGAGCGACATCTATGAATTGTTCATTTTATAATTTATGTGAAGATTGAGCTGAATTTGTTTAGCCTTTGATACATATCTTGTTCAGCATTAAAGTAGAGTAGAGCTTTAACTTCTTCTTTAAACTTAAACTTAGACCTTAGCACTTAAAGCGCAGTAGCTGCCAGCAGACTCCGAAACCTTTCTCCATCTCCTATGCCGCATAGCAACTTCTTTCCTTTCCTTTAATGCAACACGATTTGAATAGGTGTCAAATCTTTCGATAACAATTTCTAGCTTCTCACAAAGATAAATCTTATCTATAGCTAGATCATATAGTCAAGACTCTTCAGATGGGCTGCTGCCTTTTGTATCTGTAAGGTTTGAGCAGCATAAGAGAGAAACAGAGTTTGCTATCTCTCTCATTATATATATATATCTATAAATAGAAGTGTTACATGCTGCCTTAGATAGCCAAAATACCCTGTAGAAATGCTTCTCAAATTGAACTAAACAAAAGAGTGAAAAAAATATTAATAAACTTGAAGAGCTTTTGTATAACTTGCCAAAATGCCATTGTTCAAATGGTTTGTTGCTGTTGCTGTTGTTGTTGATGTTGTTGTTGTGTAATTAAGTTGTTTCGCTGCTGGACAGCTGAACACATAATGAACGCATCTCTTTGGATCTCTTCGATGGCTCAGCTGTCGGCCATTTTGTTGTTGTTGCTGTTGTTGTTAGCCATAAAAGCCCATTGAACATTGAGCATGAGCGGGGCATATTAGCTACGTGCATGGGCATGTGACTGATGCTGTCTGAGTGGATCAATTTACACTTACAGGTTTGAAACCTAAGAAAGAAAATTAAAGAAAGCGCAAAAGTGAAAATTATTTTATAAGAATATAAAAAATATAAAATAATTTCAGATTTAGTGTGGGCAAGTCTTTAAAGACTTTTTGATGATTTTGCAAATGACATAATTCACTTTTTAAGTTATGGAAAATACATTTTAAATATTTAGAAAAGTCAACAAAAATTGGAAAATGGAAAATGTTTGACCTTTTCTGTTTTAATCGAATTTTGTTAAGGTTTGGAATGCGCTAAGCAATTTGCTTGACGAAGTAGAGTAGCTTACAGTCGACTATTCAATAGAGAGAGAGACGGAGAGAGCGAGAGTGAGTGAGCGAGATAGCAATCACGATAATATTTTTGTCACACATTTGTTGCTTTTGTTGTTATTGTGGCTGTCCAGCGATTAGTTGAGGCCTTAATTTGACGCACAATGCCAGCTGAACAACAGCGACAACAATAGCAATAACAATAATAATTATAATAATATATATAATCACAATCGAATTCGTGTTCGCTTAACTATTTAATTGAATAATCAATCAAATCAAATGATGCGTGGTTCGCCGTTCGCTCTGAGTGGCTCTCGGCGTGAACCGGTTCGAAAGTGGTACAGCGCGACGACTTGAAGACACGGCCATGCACGACTGCCGACTATGCCCTAGCATATACGATATACGATATACGATATTCGATATACGATATACGATATACGATATACGATATAC